GTTAAAAAAAATTAAAAAAACAAAACCATAATGAGTCATTTGTATTTCTCAATTTTTGTAGGTTGACAATTTTATGCGTAAACTTGATTTATCAATAATTGACATTGAATTGAAGACCTGTAGTAATCTATATAATATGATTTAGAAATATAAGTCGATTTGAAATATTACACTGCAGATTACTACAGGGCGCCTACAAAGTAATATTTTTAATAGCTTATGACAATACATTTCACGTCACTCAGGTGTTACCCGGCCATCAGAGCTTCAGGCATTATCTGTGCTACATGAGGTGCGTTCTTGACGCAGATTGCCTGTACTGCCATTATTCGGAGGACATGGCGGAGCTCACTCTTTTCGGCTGTAAACTTTTTCGTTTGGCAGTGTGGGAGTTTGTTGGCGGTATAGAATCATTTGAGTGATGTCCAGGATCTACTAGCGACCTGATAGAAATCCCGCCTCAGGATCTGGATCGCATCATGCACGCCATTTGAATAATAATTATAGATACGTACGGCGTTTTAATATTTAATAACAAAAAAAAAAAAAAAAAAATTAAATCAATGAAAAAAGTATACAAACGTCCACAGATCGTTTAATTTTTTTTTTTAAAAAAAGCAAAGAACCTATTTTAATCCCAAGATCATAATATCTCTTTTGATATCACATACGTCATGTGGACTAGAATATTAGATTCTTTAAGAGTATCAGTTTAATTTTTTTCAATATACGTCACAAGATAAGCGAGTGTTCGGAAGAAATTTTGAAATTGACAAAATAAGAACCATCCTAATATGCATGCATTATTTTAATAAACAATAACAGCGTCTTTCGCTATTGTTAATGAGACTTGAAAAAAAAAGTGGAGCCCCACCTAGTTGGAATATGAAATGTTGTGGAAGGCTTTGAAGTTAGGGAAACGATATGTTTCGGTTAGTAGCCAGCAAATAATTTTCGGTGACAGCGTGCTGCAGCGGTTTCTATGAAAAAATATGGGCCAAAAACTTTCTTGTTTAAAATCACATGGAAATTATTTGCTATAAACACTTATGCATTTTTAAGAAAACAATCATACTAGATAATGTAATGATAATTTTGGTTAGCAATAGATTTTTTTTTCGATTTGAAAATAAAACCGACGGTTATTCTTTAAGCACACCTTTTGATTAATGCAACTCGACGCTATTTTTAAAATGTACCATTTTCGTGTCATACGATTACAATTGCTATGTACGAACATTGGTAGGAGAATGACGTCCTAAAAAAAAAGTATATAATGGATAATGGAAATGGGTGCAGCCACTGTTATATATATTTTAATGTATATTCGTAAGTAATGATAAACCATTGCTACGAAATAACGATTCTGAGAGGAGTTCAGTTGATAGTGATGCTTTGCCAACAATATATATGTAATTTTATAATAAAATAATTAAATAGGCTTTACATATTTTCTTTAATATTTATTTAACGTTGAACTGATTTTCCCAGATTTCCTACGTTTTTTTCGGTTTCCCCATGTTTTATCCCGGTTTTTCTCATTTGCTGGGAAAACTCTTGAGAAAATCGAAAAATTACCACCTTGAAATACCTTACCACACTGATTTTCTTTTAGAAAAGTTGCTATACTTTTAAATCTGGGCAAGTTTTCTGGTCGAAAAGTCCAGATGAAAAAACAAAATTGTTGTGAAACTATAAGCTTTTTTGCGCCACTCACAATCTAAAATTTAAGGAGGTAAACAGAATTAATAATAAATAATAAAATAATAAAGTAAAAAAAAAAATATTTAATGGTTAATTCTCGTATATAAATATATAAATAAATAATTTATACATAGAAATGAATAAATAAATGCGTCGCTTGAGTATTAAGATTATGTGTATTGTATGACCGGTTTCGAATTAAAAATTCATTATCAAGTAAATCATAAAGTCAAAAAGGAGTACATAGTGAAAAATTATACAAATTGGTCATTTTACATAGAAATAATTTATTTTGATAGGAGAAACTATTTAAAATGAGTTATTATCAGACAGATATGTTAAGAAATATAAATAATAGGTTTATTTCTACATATAAATTAATATACCTATGTATTTAATTAATAATAATGTTAAATAAATAAATAAACTAAATAGCATAAAGGGTAAATTAGTAAAATTAGTGAAATTAAGGTAACATGGTTGTCTGTTAGTAGATTAGATAGGTACTCGTATGTTCTGACGATCACAAAATGTCAAAGATAAAATTATATAATATTTTCTTTAGATACCATCATCCAAGTAATCTTATTATAACATACTTATTATTTTTATTATTTTTAAAATGTTAGTTTACGTATATAGGTATTATAGATAGGTACTTATAATACCAATCCGTCTGATGCGTAATTTTATTTAATTAGAAACGAAATTAATTATGTTTACCATAAGTAATATAACCTAACCTTAATTCTTTTTAAAAATAATACTCATTTAGATTTTCATGAATTTTAATTGAAATGTAAATGTATTTAACATTTTTTATTGCGTTTTCTATAATTACTATGCATTGTACGTACCTATAATTTAAGAATATAATTAAAAAATCAATTAAGATTTTTTTTTTGGGTTTTTATATCGATCCAAATAGAATTATATGTATAATACATATTTATCTGTATAGTTTTAATTTTCGCACTGTTTCGAAATGATTTTTAAGAATGGACGTATAACACTAGAATAATACTAGAAAATGACAAGAGGCCATTGAGGTTAAATTGTTAATATAAATATATAGATAAAGATAAATGATACATTTTATAAAATTGTATTATCTTGATGAGGATGAATAATCAGCAACTTTTTGTTGCTAAAAAGCAACGAGGCTTGTTTTGTTGCTGATAAAAAGATACATTTATTCATTACGTATCTAAAAGTGAATTGCTTAAAGTGTCTGACAGACATGGTTTACGTTTAGATTTCAAAAAGGAAATTTGATTGACGTAACTATTATTAACTTATAAATTAATTTGCAAAACTATATTAATATAAATTTAATATATTTTATCTATTACTTGTGTAAGCATATTAATTATGATTTGTGGTTGATATGAGATGGTTTAAAATAATTTATTTCGGAGAACTTATTTCACAGTAATCTGGACATGTGATAAATGATAAAAAAACACCTATCCAGAAAATGTATTTACGTTAATTTTTTTAGATAAAACTAGTACACTACACACGAGTTTGGAAAAGTTGTTATTATTAAACTATATACTGACGTGATATATTTTTTTTTTCAAACTCCTCGTTCTGTTCAACATCATCGTATAATAATTTTTAATAATATTTATAATTTTTAGCATCGTCAGTTCAGATTATTCTTGAGCGCCGTAAACACTGTTGCAGGTTTTTTAGTGGCGTATGAAAAAAAAATATAATATATTTAAAAATATTGACACAGTTTTATAAATGAAAAAAAAATAAATTTAATGTTAAGACTGAGGCAACTATAATGGAGGATTTTCAGAAGACAAAAACGAATGTGTGCTCTATATAGGTTAGGTTATTATACTTACGAAAATGCGTTTTTCGGCACGCAGTTGTCGACACTTTAGGAGCCAAGCCGTTTTATAATTAAATCAATGGCGCCGAGGTGTAACCATTAATAACTGCGTCGTGTTCTTTTATTTTACGCACCCGCACCTACCTTTTTTGTTGTTTTTGTTTTTTGAAGGAATATCGTTGTGGATGACGTCAAAAGCTTATAAAGTGTTGGAGTTCGCAAAACGGGGTTGACAGTATAAAATAATATATTAATTCGTCACGAAACTCGAAGTTGCCGTGCCCCCAAAGTCTAACGTCGTGATGAAAACCCGACTGCGAAAAGTTTAATGACGTAGTTGTCGGCCGACGACGAAGCGACGGTTTTAACGTGAAATAATTATATAATAACCGTTTATTATTACAGTATGCGTTTTTCTTTCGCAATTAATGTTATTATTTTTTTTAACAGAGCGGTGATCCGCTACTTGGAATTTTTAAAATGTTCAATTTTAAATACGTTCGAAAGTCCCCTCTTACATATAGACGATCATATGATTCCCGTAAGAAAATTAGCAGAAAGCTAGAAAGTTAGTAGTATACCGGGGCAAATTGTATTGATAAAAACCTTGTAACCCCTGAAATATTTGCTTACGTCGTGATTGAGAAACGATTTGATTTCAAACACGTTTTATGTTGTCACATATATACTCGTCACATAATTCGTGACTAAACACAAATATTTCGCGGGTTAATCAATACAATTTGCCCTCTTTGTTGTATGGCTGCCAAGCTTCTGGAATCCCGAACATCAGCTGTGGGCATTCCGGATTCGTCCGATCATTTCAGGATCAGTGCCATTATTTTGCATCGCCAATAAAACAAAAAAAAAAGTGATAAGTGTTGATAAATAAATGACAGGTAAAATGTAATATGATTTTACTTTACATTCTCTTTTATGTATTCGTACTAGTCGATTTTTTTATTTTTAGTGTTAGTCGTGTAATGTAAATATCTAAAATATCTATATAAATAATAAATCTATCTAAATATTATTTCGTTTAAATGCGGCGAAAAATAAAATAATAATAATAATAATATTATATTTTATTAAATAAATCGTCGCGTCAAACTTTTAATATACTATATCGTTTCGGGCCAACGTTTTCGGGTAAGAATTTTTTTTTTTCTGTACCATTCGCTTAAATTTATATATGACTCGTATATTAATCGGCCGTTTTCTGGCATTTTGCGAGGCAGAGGGTAATAAAATATGTATAAGTTTGGACGCGTGCGCCTGAAGACCCTTGCGGTGGCAGCGGTGTTAGCGGCGGGACCGACATTATGCTTACGGTATTTACGGTACCGCGGCGATACGGTAATTACCGTGCGCCGAGCGTACGCGTGATATGCGGCGGCGGCGGCAAAGGCGGAGTAGCAAGCGTCGGGGCCTTTAAAGTCTCCGGACTTGCCGACGCGAACGATAGTCTGCCGCTAAACGTTTCGGGTGATCATCCGCGAGGGACCTACCCCGTGCGCGCGAGCGAGAGTATAAATCGTATAGTTTTTATTATTATTATACGCTTCTGTTGCCGCCGCCGCCCAAGTCTTTCGATATCAGGTCGTCCTTTTCCGTTGCATATACCATTTGATATCTTTGGCATCATCGTCATTATCATTGAAGTGCCGTTACTGCTGTTTTCCGATCAAAACAATACAGCCGGTTATTATTATATCCGGTATAGACCGCGATTACGAAACCGCCGGGGTCGTTTTATAGAAAAAAAACAACGCGTAAGTACAATGTAGTTCTCAATAATATAACTGCATTACGCAGACCAAAAATATAAAAAATTATTACTTTTTTGCAAAAAGTGTTATTTTTTTCGGCTAGTTTTATACGAGGCCGCTCTAAAATCACGGGCGCAACTAGACCACCAAATTAAGGGGTACTGAATTTATGTACATATCAAAGACCTATGCCCCTACAATCTTCTTTACACAACTCTTTCAATAAGCAAATACTCGTTTCATTAAAAATTTTGTGTAGACAAATTTATATCATAACTATTTTAAATTAGTTATACACACATGTATTGCATTATCTGTAGGAAATCTATATTTTGTTCTGTACATTAACTATGGAAAACATCGATAAACTTTATTTATTCGAGACTTTGAAGAAGTTTATTGGGTATTTCGGGAGTGCTATTTTCATGATCGAGGTTTCTAAAAACCTCTTGGCTCCCCATAGTTGCGCCGAAGTCTAGAATCCGATCGGACTACTGCGGACTGAGTAATTCTCTGCGGAAATGCATAATGATATTATGATATTATAACAAACCTATAACTACAACAACAAAACATCATATACTGTACAATAAGTACATTATTTTTTTAAACTGTGATCATCGCGGTAATAATTACAGAAATAATATTATTTTAAGTAGCAACAAGATGTGATGCGGGTGCACTGCAGATAATAATTAATACAGAAAAAACAGGGTTTTCGGAAAAAGTCGTCTTTTTTTCTTTTATTATTCCATTATAAACAAGTATAAGTGTATTGGTTTCATTATAACCTGTGTAGTTTTATTTTTTTTCTGTATGTAAACAACTTTTTTACCATAAATCATGATCCAATCAGCATATTTTTATATGAGAGTTTTTATAAAACAATATCTGGAATTTCGGATCTAGTTGGAGTGTTACAGGGATCATATTTTGATTTTCTGAGTGGTTTTTGACGTACTCTGGACATTTTTAAGCATTCATAGATATTTAACATTTCTGTGATATTTTACTTTTTATTCGATTTTGTGTGGATAAAATTGTTCGGTCAAACAAAAATACTCGACATTGGGTTTTTTTTAAGTTGTACTTAGCAGTTAAGAGTAAAAAAAAAAAAAATTAAAAATTGAGCGTAATGCAGTAGTAGTTTTAGACTCCGAGCGTAGCGAGGCAGCTATTAGTTTAACAATGATGTTTATTGATATTTCTTCTTTGTTTTTTGTTCTAGTCTATAGACACGTTTTTCTTAGTTAACATACACCGAATTTTTACGTGTACCAACTTTACTGAAAGCTCAAATTATAATTTAAAAAGGTAATTTTTTGATTTTTAACGCCATTTTTCAAATAAAAGCACTGGAGTGGAATAAAAACGTAGGAAAACGTACAATTTCAAGATTTCATTATTTTATAAAAACACGAACGACGGTTTCTACCAGAAAAAATGATTTAATCGAAAAATCATAACAAAAAATTTACTGTCACCCCTTTTGACTTACTTTTTTACGATATCGTTTCCAAAACTTTTGAGCTTTTAAGGAATTTTAATTTTTGGGAGTTTTTTACTGTAATTCAGTTATAAAAACACGTAGAGACTTTAAGCTTGGTAATAATATTTATATTGGACTTACATCAGATGATTTTTTTCCTTTTTTTAATTTTTTTACTGTGATACTCTATTTTTTTTTTTATACTGTAGACCACATTTATCCTAAAAACTTGCTCCGATGTATAAGTGTAGCACCTTTTCTGAAAGTGAATTTTATCTACTTGGTAAATAAATGGATCATTTTTTTGATTTTCGAAACGGTATTTAAAATAAAAACGATTAACTGGGAAAAAAATACGATTTTTTCACGATTTCGTTATTTTAAATAAGTACCTACTACGTTTTTTTTTAACAAAAATATGGCTCCGATTGAAAAACGACAAGACACCATATTTTTGTTGAATTTTTTTTAATAAGCGTTTTAAAATCAAATTCAAACGAAAATCACAAAAACAAATTATGGCAATTCAAATTATGTATTACCGAACTGCGCTCGAAATCGTCATTCGTCAACAATGGTTTATCGTTGCTTACAGATATAAATGAAATAACTTTATATAAATATCTTACATATACCAAAACTTTATTTCTTGTCTTTTAAATGGACAAATATTTTTTTTTTTGCCAATTGTTATAAGTATTTATACATATTATATACTACAACCAAATATAATATATATTTATAGTAACTTTTAAAAGGACATTCTGTTATTTTTAAAGCCATTTCTCATTAATACACACGTATAATAAATATTGCGTATTAGGCGTATGTATTAATTCAAATATTCGGAGATCGTAGTATTTGTGTATGATAAAGTTGTTGATTTTCCAAAAAAAAAAAAAAATGTTGATAATTCGAATCCGTGAAAGTTTTTCCCGGAAAGCTTGAAAACGTAACAAAATAACGATAATTTACATTTACGGTAGTAGCATACGCACTTATTTACGTATGTTTCTATTGATATTATATAAGCTAATTTGTTTCCTAAACGTCCGTTTTAATTGTTATAAAAATAAGTTTCCTAACAACAGTGAACCGCGGGGGACAAGGTGAAAAAAAAAATGTATACTCTAATAATTTCAGCTTTGTAAGCGTGACGTCTATATACGATAGCCGCGTTACAACTATATACATAATCTGTTGTTAAATTAAACATGTTTCATCCCGTAGCGTTTTGTACGAAATTTGATAATGTGGTAAAACCTAACCGCGATCTAAAACGCAATAAAAACCGTATACTTTTAACAAATGCATTATTAGGCGACTGTTATTGAACCATTGCACTGATGCAATACACGCCGTATAATATTTCTTTGTAGACATAGTATTATGTTTATACAAACCTAATGGAATTTTTCAAACGTCGGATACGGATGTAAAAAAAAAAAATAATATTGATTTAAAATATTCTTTGAGGAAAAAAAAATATCAAGTCTTGAGGCTATTCTCTCGTTTAAAGAATCACTGCGTCCGTTTATTGTTTCCTTGCGGTATAGGGCGAATTTTCCTGCGCACCAAAGTTCCCCTTTCATTTTTACGCTTAAATAATGAATTTATTCAAATTCCAATGTATTTTCTGAAAATATAATATAACGCACATAAATACAGTGTATGATATTTTCTAATACATACATTTTTATATCATTCCTGAAGACGTATCCTGTGGCAATTTGTATAAACTTTTGATTTTCAAACGAGAACACGGTATTTTTTTTATGCAAATATAATTGTTCGTCTAATATTTCTGAAACTTTTAGGTATATCAGAAATCGAAGTCAACATTGAAACATAAATGTGTTTACGTTTACGGTATGGAAACGGAAATTTCGAAGTAACTCAAGTAACAAAAGTAAAAAGAAAAAATGTATTTTCCTAGAGTTTTATTTTTGAAAAGAAATCTTAATTTATAAATAAATTATAAGGGATCCAGGACAAAAATAACAATAAATTAAATTTCCAAAATAACAATGTCCGTACAGTGACGAATCCTGAAATCAAATGAGTTTGATCTCCCTGTCAACGTTTATTAGATCCCGAGATTACCCAATAAGGCATGTTCTTGATTTTTTGTGCGTCCACCATCAAAGCAAAGCGTATATAACCTGGCTAAAAACAACCGTTGAGTATTGTAAACGAGGATTCAAGAAGAAATTGCGAACAGCACGAACAGGCTTTTCATTAAAAATTAATTTAGCTCAACGACTATAATAGGTAATATAATTATTGTTCTACGAGTATAAACGCAAGAACACAATAACGTATTAATATTGTGCTCTCTGAGGCTGGGGAGGTCGTATGTGTTATTAAGATTTATTAAACAAGAAACTTCGTATAGATACCGGTAGAGTACCTATGTAACTGTAAATTTTACCAGACGTCATATTCTCACGTCTCACCGTTGTATCCGTTCAAAATAGTAGTCGTCGACGAACATAACTATCACGCGATTAATACGAGTAGAACTACATTAATCACGTGAAATTATTGTACATTGAATTTCGCCCACTTACATCTAATACAACACTGTAGCGTGATAATATACATTTTAAATTCGATTCGAAGTAAACCCCTATAGGGCTGTTCGATTATTTAGATTAATCGATAATCCGACAACTAATCGCGGAAGACTGATCAATTATTTATGTTTAAATGTAAAAACAACTCTCATTATCAATATACTGCATATAGTTAGTGTCGTTGGCGAGTTCGTTCCACGCATAATAATACAACTAACTTATCATTTTTACGTACCAAAGTTTATAATGATTTATCTGTTTTTCTGTTATTTCTGTGTAAGTTAGTTAGCCCATTATAGTTCCATTAATGTTTTCTCAATTGTAATGAGCAATAACTAAATAACCAAATAACCAATAAAGGAGAACCAGCCAAATCTTGACCATCATTAAATCCTTACCATTGTAATTTGTAGGTAGTGACAAAGTATTAATCGAAACGTTTAAATGTATAAAAATAATACGATCGATATGCTATTATTTTATTATTTTCATGTGTGATAACATAATTATTAAACAGCTCTGCGGTTATACAAGTTAAAACTTTTTTTAAAATGTATCATTTAAACACACACATTGCCGTTTAAGTTTTAAGTTTATTATTCGATTAGATATGTATTTAACGTGTTTGCCACATCTAAACCTATTAATAATCAAAAGCAGTTTTTGTTTCATTTTAATAGGTTTTACAAACTGTACGAACAATCGAATGTTACATAAGAACGTAATTTACGGTAAAAACCGATGTTTTCTTCTGTGGCATTACTGAGGACTACCAGATTACATTATTCAGTTCTAAAAACGAACACACATTATAGTAAACCACGCAACGTCAATAAAAGCATTACACGACACGCGTTTAAATAATTAATAAACACAAATTATGATTTTATGGCAAAGAAAAAAAATCGACTTGCACATCCTTATAGGTTAGGCCACTGTTGTAGGCGGAAATGTGGTAAGGTAGAAATGTAGGATATATAGCATAGATTCTTAACGGAGAAAATATCGGTATCTCAGGAAGTTTGTAGGTTTGAAGAGTTTTTATTTAAATTTAGAACATCGAGCCATGTACTCATGGAAAAATCTCCCATTATTTTGATTGGCAGTTGTTATCTAAATAAACAGGCGCTGAACTGAAAAAATTTAAGAACTACTGATATATGGGATAATTTAATTTATATCCGTGTGTAACGATAAATCATTGCTAACGAAAAATTCTGAGTGAAGTTCGGTTAAATATGTTTTGAGTAAATAAGTTTAAATTTAAATTGGTATTCATTTTTAACCACAAAATAAATTTCTGACTTAAACGAAGTTGAACTTAAAACACGGAGAAAAAAAAAGAATAGCTTATTACTCGTTAACCCTAAACCGGTATTAAGCCACTATAGAATTAATTGTCATGGTTTTCCAATGTTTTTTCTAGGGTTTTCATTAAAATATAAAAAAAAAATTATTTCCCAATGTTTCATCGGGATACACTGTTATAGCTACTAGACATATCGTTGATGTTCATTTTTGGAGCAAGTATTGTGATTTAAACCTGTTCATTTCTTCTGTTTATTGCATTTGATTTTTATCAACTCCTAACCACGGTGACCCTAAATAGGTTTATTATATAAACCAAGTAGATATGTTGGTTTCGGTTTTTGTAGAAGACGATAAAATATCGTATCGCGAACGTATCAAAGTATTATTTATTTGTACGCATCTTGTCACTGGTTCAAGATTTATTGTTTGATAGGTTCACATTATAATTCATAATTTATACATATAAATGAATAATATTTGATCACGAAACCACTAGATTCTGTAAGAGGCTTATAGAGAGTGGAAATTGGGTACATCGGTATGTTTATCTTATAACCTGCAGGAGGTGCATTTAGAAAGAATTTTTTAAACGGCCGTCGTTGTGGTACACTAGGCTCTCGTTCCTTTCCTGTCGCAGAACTGGGTAAGGGGGAGGTGGACATGGAAGTAGAATCGTCGTTCTTATATCCCAGGGTACCCGAGCCCCGGAAAAATGTTTTAAAAATTTAATAAATACTTATACAACATAAAAATACATTATTAACAAAACAATCAAAAATCAAACAACTGAAACAAGAAAACCAAATATTGAATGTAACTTAGATAGGTTACTTTATATTATGTCCGTATATATTTTCGTGTACACGAAAAATCGTTAAACGGAACTTTACGGCGAGAAGGACATTAATCGTACGGGACGGGTATAAATTAATATAATAGCTGCCTTCTAAAAATAACCTATAAGTTATTGCGTTAATTTATCATATAGGCGTTTCGGAGCGTGCCCCGCCATAATATTATTATTTAGACGGCCGGCATCGCGAGCGGAGAACCGTACCATCGCGAAAACTTCATTACTGCTGACCATTTCTTCGGGACAAAGTTTACTGACCCACCCAAACCACGTCATGCTGCATGTACGTATATTACCGATAAAAATTAACGGTATCTGTTGTGAACATACGGTCAACATTGATTTTACAATAGAATGTAGACATGATAATAGAGGGTATCCATTTCGTACATCTTGGCCATAATAATATAATAACCGCTACGTTGCGCCAGTGTAGGTTGGATATGAATAATGTAACATATAAATAGTCTTATTGATTTATTGAATTTATAATTAATATATAATTTTATGTTCTTAAATATAAATTTGAATATGCAAATGAGGTAATGCAATAATAATTATAATAATATTCATCTAATTATTCTATTTCTATTTCAATTATTAATCAAAAAAATCTTGTATGGCTAGTGGCTTCCTCGAAGTTGATACTTTGCTACTAGTGAATTGATACCTGACTCAATGGATATCAGCAGCATTAGTCTCAAATCTCCTATTTCACAAATTTTTAATCGATTTCTAGAATTTGTCAATGCTTACCTACATACCGCACGTAAGCGAATAACAGATCCTCGTTATAGATTTCTCAAGTTGCAGTAAAAATTTAATAATTCTTAAAATATCACATAATTTAATTTTAACATTGTTCGTCACTTTATCAATTCACCTGGACACAGTATTATTACTCAGAGAAACAGATGAAGTTATTTCAGCTAAATTTCCACTTGTTATTAAATTGAATATCGCTTCCACAACAGATAAAATTAGTGTTTCGGCCATAGTGTGTGGTTTTTCACATTAAAAATGACACTTTGTATGAAGTGAACAAACCTTCATTCTGAATTTGTGATTATGTTGTACTTTATTGAAAATACCGCTTAAATTTTCGCTAAAATATATGAAATATTTTTTTTACGCCTATCTGGATGTTTTTTCGTAAAGTGGTTTTTTATTTTTGATAGTTTTATAGCTTCATTACTAAATATTTTTCACAAATCAGATACAAGGATGATTGTTCATTTGTCGGAGATACAATAAAAAAACATTTTTAAATATTTGATGGAATATATTCTAAATTTTTGTTTCCCGAACATTTGGTAAGTATTACAAACAACTTTTATGTACACACACTCAATGATGACTCCACTTCACATTAAATTTGAGAATACAACTGTAGATAATGCCCGAATAACAATGGGGCCGAACAAATTTAATCGGCGTCGATACGATACGATAAAAGTTATTATTTATTTCCATTTTGCTGGCGTTGCGGTATGTATAAATATTATATCCACATAATTCTATATGTAAGTACATTAGGGAATTTGAAATTATTTATTATCGTAAGTAGTTCTACAATTCATTTAATACATTATGTAATATAAGTGGTAGAAAAAAAGCCTCTATTCGGTAAAACGCCACATTTAAAATTAAAATCGCCCACAAAGTGGCGGTATCTCCAAAGTCGGAAAACTGATTTAAACCATGGCTGATTACTAAATGTACCGATAATTCGGATAATCATATAACAGAATATCGGTCGGCCAAATCGGTTCGTGATAATGGGGGTGGTTACGTTAAAGTCGTTCTATAAAGCATGCTGTTAGGTACACCGACAAATCATATAGATGGAACCCAAAACCATAATAGGTACAAGCATAATATAAAACTTATACCTTCGGTAAATAATACAATGGTCGGATAAACCGGATAAATGTTGTTTGTACCGTTGCACTTTTTATTCATTTTTCGACCCGTGAATCGGATCGAGTGTCGAAATATAATAATGTCGAGTATGATAAACTTAGTGTTATTAAGATATTTCGAAACGCAGCGTGCAGCACGGTGCAGAGACCTAAGGTTGAAATTAATGTTATGCTGCTACCGAACCTTGTCAGCACAAGGTATTCGATATTTATTTGTATTGATTTCGTGTCACATATTAGTATACTTAAAGTTAAACAAAACGACATTATTATTGTGAGACGGGGGTCAATTATTATTACTAAGCGCCTAGTACACAGCGATTTTAATTTCATTTGGTTGAATCGTTAAATGGTTACTTTAGCCTAAATACATTTGACATTTCCGTTGGATTGCGTGTGGAATAAAAAAATTTCCGTTTTAGAATAATCGCGCCGACAAGTGACGACGAAATATTTTCCCCGGATTAATACGTTTCCGTAACTGCGGTTATACTTTCGGACGATTAATTTATATTATGTTTATTAGAATAAAATCCGTTCCCGAAAGAAAGATACATTTTAACAATGACGCGTGCGTTTTCTATGAAACGATTGTTCAGGCATCACGAATGTTTCGATATAATATAATATTTTACGGGAAACGGGCTCCGACCCGTTTTCCGGACGAAAATCTACTTAGAAAGGTTATTTTTTGATTTTTTTTTTTTCAATAGATCATCAAATAATAATAAAAAAAAACCGTTTAACTCGTTTTTGAGCATTGTGTTCAATGCTGAACGACCCGAACTAGAAACGATACAATCGGGTTTCAGAAATTCCGTGGCATACAGAAATACAGTACAAAGACGGCTGACATTAAATTTTATTGGAACATTGTAGATTTTCAGCATATTTCTTAGAAAATCGGTTTGAAGGTTCGTAAAAGAAGCTGTTTTTTTTTTTTTTTTTTATGGCAATAATGCGAGTGCATTACTAAATAGAAACTCGAGTTGGAAGCTCTGGTGTATTTTTAATTCACATAAGTGGTGATAAAACTGTTGCAAAGTACAAAGAGAAAGAGAAAGAGAGAAAGAGGGAGACAGATAGAGAGAGAAGTTATGGCGTTATTTTTTATGATTATCGGAATTCACTGTTTAATTGATGACTGATCGAGTGCCGAGATTCAAATCGATGAACATAATACGATTTAATTAGATTACGGTGAACGAAATTTAATCGTTAGCAGTGATTGAATCTTATCGTACAGGAATAACAATTATTATTAATCGGTTTTTTTGATTTGTCGTTTAGTTTTGAATAAAATTCGTTCTCAGAGTTTGATGTCTACCACCGCGTCACGTATTACCTCACATATTTTTTTACTTGATATGTTATTTTAGATTCTGAGTGGAGCGAAGAAGCTTATGGTTTTAAAAAGATGTTTATTTTTTTTTTCTGTGGACAACTTTTCTGAAAGAAAATCGGTGTGGAAAGATACCTTGAAGTTACTATTTTTCGAAAATTTCTTAAAAATTGTGAAAACCAAAAAAAAAAAAAAAAAAAAACGGGAAAATGTAAGAAATGTAGGTATTAGTTAAAAATATTATTGCCTTCATTTTTCTTGTAGACAGCTTTTCTATCAGCAATTTGCCTTCAACTTTTAATGGTACCAATTTTTCTAAAAGGAAATTTTACTGAGGAAATAGTTAAGAGAAGTAATTTTTTGAAATTTTCATTAAAAATTAGAGCTAATGAAGAAAACCCGGTGCTTTCGGTTATAAAAGATTGAAAAATTAAACATAAGGTTGTCATTGACAACTTTTTTTTATTTATTTTTTGTTATTATTAAGTTTCTATTTTTTTAATAGTTTTTAAGATTTTTTAAGATTTTTTTTTATTTTACCATAATATAACATATACATATATCGTTTATTCGTTAGTAATGGTTTAACATTACTTACAGATTGAAACATTAAATTTCCGTCTATATCCTACCTTCCCAACTTCCCATCTATGATAGTGCCTGCACCCACATACAAAGTATGTCTGTCCTTTTTATTCCATTTTGAGTTATATCAAAATTAAGTTTCAAAAAAAATAAAATAATATATACTCTTACATTGAGCATAAAATATATTAAAATAATTTAATGAGTTGAATAATATTCTATGTTTTAGTTTAAGTTTTCTAAGAAGGGTAAGCAAGTATGACATCACTAATTTATTTTAAAATGGCGTGTGTTTTATTTTTGTTTCATTTTTTGAGGGATCCAAAAGTTTAGAATAGTCTCCGCCCGTATCGTTTAAAGTTTGAAATCATACGGTTCTTCAAAAAAGTTGTTGAGTAAATCGTAGAAAAAAAAAAACTGCGTTCGTTATTGTGAATTTTCTGATAGAATTAATGTGATAGTGTGACAGCGTTAAACTTGAAATTACTATTATTTAAAAAAAAATATATTTTGGGTGAAAAAAAATTGTTTAAAAAACTTGTCTGCACTGCAGTTGTGATGCGTAACTGTGCCTCGGTTGGAGACCAATCGTGACAATCAATGATGAATAAGCTCTTGTGAATCGAAAAATGACTGTAAAATATTATTTCAAGTACTTATACACGATCAATATAGTTTTTTTTTTTTTATGCAACGATGTATACCGTTTTAATTAAGTACTCGATAAAAAACGACCAATCAAACAAACAAAGTATCTGCCTATATAGATATATACGGTACTGAAAAGTGAATTTGAATAAATTTTGACGTATAATAGTGCCACGTATATTACGATCACAAGCACTCCAGTATTATACGCCTCAGTCGATATGTATATTTGTATATCATGATAATAATATTACTACTGGCGACAATGAATTTGTATTATATTAAATTTATGGCTAAACGAACCAACAGAGGTAAAAAAAGTTATATTGCTGATGGTTGTTCTACTGTTACAGGTGAGAAATTAGGAGTGCGTAATTTATATCTGTAGTTGTGAAACGATAATATACTGTTGACGGACTACGATTCTGAGTGAAGTTTGGTTAAACATGTTTTGAAATTAAAATTTCGTTAAAATTCGAACTTAAAACGATTATAAGAAAAACACTACTTAAAGCTCAACATTTTTTAATTTTTTTTTTCACTAAATACAAATTTTAATGAATTTCGTGTTAAATTTTTAAGTATTTCCGATTAATTGAACAATTTTATCCACATAAAACTAAAAAAAAGCTTATTAATAGCTATTAATATCAAATACCTATTAATAGCTCAAAAACTGTCAGAATACATGGAGAATTTTACCGCTTTTAGAAAAATATTTCGTAAAAATGATGGGTGTCTACAATTATTTTTAACTAAAGGACATCAAAAATGACATCCTATAATAATGGATACAGGTGCAGCCACTGTTATAAATAGGTAATTTAATGTATATCCGTAAGCAACAATAAACCATTGTTAACGAAACAACGATGCTGAACTTAGTTCAGTTGATAGTGATGCTTTGTTAACAAAATATATTGCATATTATTGCAAAATAATTAAATAAGCTTTATATATTTTCTTTGATAATACGTGTTTAATATTGTACCGATTTTCTCATGTTTTTTCCCGATTTTTTCAATTTATTGGGAAAATTCCTGGGAAAATCGAAAAACAACCTCCTTAAAGTATCTTCCCAGTCAGATTTCTTTTCAGAAAAAGTGCTATCATTTTATATTGGAGTGCAATTGCTGGTAGAAAAGTTTTATACAGAATAAAAAGAAAATATATAATGCCTATTTAATTATTTTACCATTATATGAAATATACATTGTTGACAAAACATCACTATCAACTGAACTGAAATCAGAATCGTTTTTTCATTAGCAATGATTTATCATTGTTTATAGGTATACATTAAATTATCTATAACAGTGGCTGCATCCGTTCCCATTATCCTAGGACGTCTTTTGTTATACTTAATTTTATTATTAAAAATACTTTATTACAATTTAAATTTAATATATTTTTTCTGAATGTAAAAATGATGTTATTTCAAATTGTGAAGAGTAGTAACAAGAGCTGAAAATCTATGTATTCAGCACAATAAAACTGATATACGCGTACCACAATAAGCGAATATGAATATTCAAATTTTGAACTCTTTCTATTTTTAATGAATCTTTTTGCTCTTTGCCTTTATCACGCGTGAATGGTTTCAACTATTCTTATTCTCGCCTTTGCGCCTTCATATTCAGCATCATCGCCATTTCTTCATCTACTGCACGCATGTGCCCTTATATCCAAGAGTGTATTTAGAAAGCATATAATGAACGTATTAAGCGCATAAATGCATATTTAGTTATTTTTTGAGGCATGCAAATCCGCTTCTTGGTAGTTGATAATAATAATATTACGAGGGATTTTCTAAATATTTTGCCCCACCACAATGTTTTATAATGAACTCAGCACTATAATAATATAATATAATACACTGTTGGTGATGGCGTACGTGCGTTATAATAATGTTTTAGATTGTCCGCATTAGGCATTTTTTTCGTCCAACGGCTGTATTATATTAAATTATGACATTAATTTCGGGCCGAACGTATTATACTACGTAATAATTCACCAAAACTCACTGCCAAATGAAGTATCATGTTTTTTACGGCGTGATAACAGACTACCGTATTCGCTTTAACTATACTTCAGTTTAAGTATATCTATATAATATATAAAAGAACCTACTAACTTACTGACTGACGTTTAGGCAAAAAGCTAAGAGTCATTTGAGCTTAAAAATTGAAGACCTGGGGGTAACAATGAGACATGTCTAATTTTTGGGCAAAATCACGTTTTCATTGATTGTATAGAAAAAAAAAATTAACACATCGATTGGTACAAAAATCAGACACGTCTGACCATTATTTACGGAATTATAACACAAATGGACTTTCCTTGTTGTTTTTTTGATACAAAAACAAGATGTTGTCCCGGACAAGTCTGATTGTTGCTTCAAATACCGGTAGGACTGTACAGCAATTACGGTACAACAACAAGATATGTCCAAGTATTATTTCATTGCTTCTTTAACTTGTTATTAAAAGTTAAACATTTTTTATGAGTCCATGTAATATAATATATACCTTAAAACTAAAATCTTCTTAACATTTTTTTTTTTTAAATTTTAGAATGTTTTTCATGTTTCCTAAACAAGTTCAAAAAATAGACACATCTCGTTGTTGCTCCCAGGTCTTCAATTTGAAACTTCGTACATAGGTCCCTTATAAAATTTAAGCAACCGCTAAGATAGGATTTTTTGAAATTCAATCTCTAAGCGTAAAATGGGGTATTTAAGTTTGTATTTTTATATCAACACATAGCCCGAACTACTAAATCTAGAAACTTGAAATATATTTATTACATAGGTATCGAATACCATTAAATAATGCTTTATTTTTGAAATTCGCCCCCTAAGAGTTAAAAAGATGGATACAAATTTTTTTTTAACGTGTTAAATAATTTTATACTGATATTATCACTAGGCGTTGTCCGTGCCAAACAAATGTGTAATAAATGTTTTTCCCTTAGATTTCCTGGTCAAATCCCCGTCACTATCACTTCAGTTAACCGTTGTTGCATTTAAATTTTTAAAAATTAATTTCGTATTTATAAGTTAAGTTATAAGAATAGTACAAATTATTTGTTACTTCTTCAGACTGTTGAGTCACAATTTACAATTAATTTATATTTTACCAATTTGTCTATGACGCATCCCGTAAAGAATTTATAAAAGTCTACGTGGATCAAGGCGCGAGTTATACAGCTGGTACGATAATATATAAGTATAGATTAAAAGGCCAGTGCTCGTAATTAATATTATCATTCGCGATTTTCGGAAGCGGTGAACATAAAAACAATAACTTTTTCACCTTGTATAAATTCAGTATTGTAATATTTTTTAATTAGTCTTTACGTATTGACATAATGTGATTTCAGAAGTAATACTAAATAATAAAATATTCGTCTGTATAATATTGTAGAGCTAATTAACTATGACATTATAAAACAAACAGACCAATGACGTGGCGGAGAATATTGTATCGAAAAAAGTATCACAAATGAAAAAAAAAAAAATTAAATCGTTTAAACTAATTAATAACTAGTGAACCGAACCAGACTCATTGATGGAAACCTGATATGAGACTAGTCTGATCGGTCCGGCCGTCACTTAACCACTGTATACTAATTATTATAATTCATAGTACAATATACTTACGTTAAGATTTTAATAATAATAATATTTGTGATCATTGAGTTCCACAATTTATCACACAAATTTGGCCAAAAGCGTAGATTCTGTATAGCGTATCCAATATGAAATAATAATACTATTTACTTAAAACAAAATTAATTGTAAGTAATATTTATGATACGAAAATTACGAAGCATAATTTTGTGTTTGTAAATGTGTAAATGTTCAACATCGAAATGTTCAAATATGAGTTCGGGAACATGTCACTCCGTTAGTTTTCACCTCGCGAAATATCTAATACGTTGCTAGGGAAACTATCGTTGCTTAGTTTCCTGCACACATCAGTTCACAACGGGAATTTGTTATATTGTTACAGCAACTATCGTTGCTGCTAGGGTTGCATTTTTTTCATTACACATATTTTTTTTGACATCCAGACATAAGACATATAAATCTAAAAAACTTATATTCTTTGTCCTATTCAAAAATTGCAAGGTAAAAATAATATCCATTACAGTTATAGAGCCTAGAATACGCGGTGAATTGTTGAAAATGTCAAACAGTTTTTTAAATAAAGTACTACCGGATAGAAAGTCCCTAAATTTAAAATTATGAAATGCAAAAAAAGGTCCTGTGACTACTGATAATTTATTAAAGTTTTTTTTTATCCTTGAAACAAGGATTAATCAGAAACGATAAATAAAAAATAAGGATTTAACATACACCATTAAGATTAATAGGGTAATTTAATTTATAAAGAGTATGTAAAGATAAATCATTAAAAAATAAGAACTATTCTAAACGGAGTAGTGTTATTTATATTTTTCCCTTTTTTGCCAAGATAGCCCAGAAATCAGTAAAAATCATAAACCAAAAAAAGTACTTAGGCGTGAACTTGGAAATATGTTTTAAATATAGTACCCAAAATCTAAAACAAAATGTTTTTCAGTCAATGATCAGGACTTCAGTGATATTAATTGAGTGAAATATTTGGAATCTAGAAAAATGTTTTAACCCTATTTAATAAGTATATAGTTACAATCGTGTAAAACTTTTGGAGCGTTTTAACTTAACCAGAAAAGTGTTTTCCGAGAGTAAAAAAAAACTTTAATTAATTGCTTCTTCAACGATCCATTCTGAATATATAAAACGGATAATGAGATTCATAGTTTTTTATCAGCCAATTACTATATTCATGATGTCAACAGTATAATATTATTTATTAGGTACCAATTTTCTGTTCCTATACTATCCGTCAGAATATAAAAACAGCCGTGTATATTGAAATGTTGGTCCGTAAATTAATATGTTTTATATAAAATTAATAAAATAAAATGAACGACCGAATATAACTTATTATGTTGTGCACTGGAAGTATATCACACGCAAAGTGAAAGTTGGAGTAAAGTTAATAATATATTTTCTAAAGAACGGGACAAAAAAAAAAAAAAAAAAAAAACAACTCAATAGTAATATTATTAAATTCCGTTTCGTATATAGTTTGATTCAAACCCAGTTATTAAACTGTGTATATCTGCATTATACTGTAGAATATTCTTTTTAGACAGCGTCGTATGCGTATAATTCGTTTTACAAAGATTTTTGGTTTTTTTTTAATTTTTTTTTTTTAATTAGAGACTGGAACGACACTTTTTAGGACAGTAAACATGCGCACCGCTGTTATTCGCATTGAGGTATTTATAGATAGAGAATTAAAAATTAAAAAACAGGTGCTATACTTTATAAAGCAGTATTTTGTATTTATTTTTTTTTTTTTATCTCCCAGTATAGTTTAAATATAGGGAATCTTTTCGGTTGAAATATATATATTTAATATATAAACAAGCAGCGATGAGAAACATAAAAAGCAAGAAAGTAATAATAATTTAAATTCTCTCTACCGAAACGTTTTTTAATAGTGCGGATAATTATTTTCAAGTTGAAAGTTGAAATTATTAATTAAAATGTCGTTAATTTGGAAACAAGGTGACCTAAACACGAAGAAAGTCCGTGTACCATTTTTAATCATATATGGTTAAGTGATTCATTGCATGGTTTATAGATCAATCTCTATGAAGAACAGTTGACAATTTTAGATTTTTAACATAATGAATACTTGGTATTACTATGACGTGTTTTCTACAACTGTTAACAGTTTTCCTATCAGAAATCTTGCTCCAATCGAAGATTTTAAACAGACTTTTTTGTAGAATTTTGATATCTAGTTCTTGTCTTGAGGAAGTTGTTTTTTAATTGTCCTTAATATTGAAAGTATATCGGGAAAATATACACTACAACGGTATTTGTTATTTTTATCTGTTGTAATTCAGTTAAGAATAATCATATAAAAGTGAAACTATCACAGAATACTTATATTACAATTTTAAGACTTTTAAATATTTTGACGATTATTGAGCTATTTATACTTTTGAAATCTTGAGTTCTTTTTTGTTTTTCTTTGTTTTTATATGGATAAAATTGTTTTTAGCTTAATAAAAATACTCGAAAATTTAACACAAAATTCAATATAACTTATACTCAGTGCCAAAAATTAATTTAAAAGAATATTTTTTATATAAGTTCTTAAAGTTTAAGTTTTAAATTGTGGCATTTAATCATTTAAAAATCATTTTTCGTTAACTGGTTACCATTGTCGACCATATCATGTTTATATTCTATTAAAATAAAGTTTTAATTTTAAAATAAACAAATATCAGGTAGTTGATAAAAATATAACACATCCTAACTACCGGCGAGCGTTCAAACTACACCAAATTGTATTTGATGAGCTTTTGGTGTGTTTAAACATTCTGTTAAGTCACTAGTGTATCTCTAAAGACCACGCGGTTGCGTATTATTTTTTTATATAAGAGTTTTAATATATATTTAAACCCTAGGTGTGTGTAAGTATATTCTTCATACAGTTGGTAAATCGAGTTTTTTTTTTTTTATCACCATATACTCTATATAGGTATCTGGTACACATCATAGATGATTAAATTTTAAATTAAACTTTATTAATTGATATAAAATTTGAATATCTACGTGATTTGGTTCAAGCAAGGCCATTGATATATTTGTACAAAATTAGAATTATTAAACTAGTTTTATGTTTTTATAGATTATATTATTAAATTTTATACTAGTAATCAAAACCAAACAGCTAATGTCTCTGATTTAGTACGTGAATTTTTAAAAATGTTTAAAATTTCTAGTGATGTATCACCAGGTCTAAATTCCGCATCTTTTAAAGTACTGCGTGAAAAATCGGAGAATTTTACTTTCCCAAGAAGATTTTCTGGGAAGTAAAAAAAAAAAAAAACACATATTATTGAAACCAATAGCTTCGTCAACAAGAGTAATTTATGTTTTGTTTATGAATATAAAATTACGATAAAATAAAAACTATACTTGCAAACACTTACTAATGATTTGTTATCATTGACATTATTTGTTCCATCGATTACTAAGAAAGTGGGCGCGCCAAATCCCCGTTGATAGTATTCATAGTGTATATCCTTTGCACATTGGCAAACACATTTATAAAGAATACGACGTCGTTGAGGAAAATATTTTGTTCAATATACTCCAATTTATATCAACTTTAAATTAAATTAAATTAAATATTAGTTTTTGATTAAATTTATATAAAAAAATAAAAACCCGTGTGCAGCAGATCTTCGACACTATACAGTCGTATTTACTAGACACCTATTAACTACGATTACCTCTATGTCCTATTTAACGGTCTACTAATTCTCCCCTCTTTCAGGTATTAAATGTATCCTATAATCTTATTTTTTATCAAAATAAATTATTCATTTTTATTAAAATAATTTAATTATTCTCTTTGATCATAATTAATAAAACTAATATTGATAATATTCTTTAATTTGTGTCAAATTTTAAATTGCATTAACGTTATCATTATCAGTATACTTATTAAAGTCTTATCTCCTATATTTTACTGATATGCGTTTATCTATTATTGGTCTATGTAGGTCACCATTGTTGTATTTTATCAATTTAAATTTGAAAGCGACGACAAACATTTTATTATTTTTGGCGAAACTCAGAATTTATATTTTTTCGTTCGTTTGATTTGTCTTCCCAGTTTTCAGATTTTGGACATTTTTGACTATAATAACTACAGAGATATTATTCCATGTTGTATTATACCAAACCATGTTCAATATTGGTCTAATTATAAAAATTGATAATTGAAATATTTCATATTGCTAAAAAATAATAATAATGACAATAATTAAAAACAATTGTTAAGATTTCTCTTCGTTCGGATTCTAAAATAATTCAATACTTTTTTTTTCCATGTTCGATTTAACACCAATATTTAAATGGGAATAAAAATATAGACATTTTAAATAAAATAAAAAATGATAAGACATGAAATTACAATCACCATCCTGTTTTTCATTTCAGCTGTAATAAAAAATCAAATATAAATAAAATAATATTTCCGATACACGAGTATACACACTTATATTGTTCGATATTGTATTATTTTTAATTTTTCACTTTTACGCCTTACGTTTATAGTATTAATAACATTAAAACATTCAAAACCAATTAAAATAGTTTACTAAATCGGCATAAGGCATATGTATGTCTCCAATAGTTTAATCATTATTAAGACGGTTTTTGTACAATGCAATCATGAAAGTTGCGAATTTCTTCTCTCCCAAATACATTCATTCGGTCAAGAAAAACAGATTTTTTTTTTTTATCGAGTAGTGAACCGCGGTTTTACATTGATTTTCCATTAAGAGTGCCGAAAAAAACTGCGAATATACGAATTTTGCAAACGACTTTTTCTTTGAAATTAGATATCAAACGTTACGATCGATTAAGCGCTAAATTTAATAATATGCTACACTGCCGTGTTTTCTGTCACCTCGCGTGTTTTTTCAACTTTTTTTTTGTTCATGAATATATTATACGATGCACTCGAGTGCAATAAAAAATTTGTTCCTACCTAGTATATTATGTTTTACTTTTAAATTAATTTAAAGCGCGTTTCACTCAAATAACAAACGGAATATTTCAGTCTTAAAGACTTAGATTGGAATGAGGTGTTTAGGGAGGTCAGACGTAAAATATTACCTTCTAAAGTATACAATTTTAAGCCTACTTTCAAACCACTGGAATTCGTATACGAGCAATAGAGATCTCCCTTTTCTCAGATGGAAACGTCTATTTTAGACACATGAATCAGAAACAACTGCTATACGCAGAAAAACAAATTTTTTAACAATCTAAATTTAAAGAAGTATTTGAAATATGGTAGATATTTATGATATTTTTGATTTTATAATTTGATTTTTTTGTATCAGTGTTTTAAATTAAAATGTATTTTAAAGTTTGTTGAAAACACAAATAATTGTACGTCAAACGAAATAAAAACTAATTCGTTTAATTTCTTGTAGTAAATAATTATCTGAAAGATCATTAAACATAGTTCAAAATTTTCTACAGAATCAATGTATAACCTAAACATGTCAATATCTAGCTAATCATGTATTTAAAAAATCCTATCATATTTTAGATTCTTATTGGAACGAGGAATGTATTGGATTTACAATGATGGTTATATTTTTTTTATGTGAACACATTTTTTACCAGAAAGTATACTCCGTATTTAAAATATAGTACCTTTTCTGAAAGGAAATGTTCTTTAGGTTGTACTTTAGAGAGGTCATTTTTGAAATACTCATTTTCGAAATAAGTTCGAAATAATGAGGAAAATTTTTAGGTTAAAAAAGATTGAAAGATTAAAAATAAAGTTGTCATTGGCAACCGTTTTTATTTATTTTTTGTTATTATTAAGTTTTTATTATTTTAATCTTTTTTAAACAATAATTGTAGTCATAGAAATGCACATTATTGTAATAATTTTAACATAATATTACATTGTATTGTTGACAAAGCAACATTATTAACTGACCTCCGTTCAGAATCGTTTTCTCGTTAGCAATGGTTCATCATTGTTTACAGATATACATTAAATTCCGGTCTGTATCCTACTTTCCCAACTTCCTACCTTTCATTTTTTTTGTTTT